CCAAAACAAATAACTTACAAGGGAAATGTATATCTCCTTAGATTCTCCAAATCACATAAGAACATTTGTAAAAAGAGATATAAAATGGAGAAACATAGTATAATATTGTTTTTACATAAATATAAAAACCAGCAATAAAAATAGGAGTATCACTCACAAAGAAAGAGCAGTAAAAGCCTGCTCTAACTGATCCAGCTTTAAATCCAAAGACCAGGACTTCAATGTTGGTGCAAGTAGGCAGGACACCAGTTTCAAAAGTAAAACAGCTTTATTGAAAATAAATAAAATCCACACTCTCCGTTTCCATATAGCAGCCTAATAACCTTTTGCCAGTACTGTATTGTAAATATCTTCTTCTTCCCCTTTATAGAAGGTTTTTTTTGTTTTTTTGCTTAGGTTTTTTATATATAAATATATTTATATGTACTTATATGCATATGCACATTCCTTTTTTCCATATATATGTATATATGATTCTTTGTGTATATATGTATATACACATTCTTTTTATCTAGGAATTATAATAAGATGTCAATAAGAATTATCTATGTGCAATCCATGTGTTATTATTATTATTTACTGCTGTTTTATGAGTCATTTGGACAAATTACTTTTAAATTAGTGGATTAGTTTTATGCTATATCTGTTTTTTCTGTTGTTTTATATGTTATGGACTTTCCAAATATAGACATTTAGAAGATCTACCCCTAATCAGTCTATGGGGAGTTTCTGTAATGATTGATGCAAACCACGCCCATGCATGGGCTTTAAAAGTCAGGACTAGCTACATCATGATGTGATCTGAGGAAGCCGATTGGGCGAAACGCGTCATCACGTCGATTACGTCATCACGCCATCACGCCATCACGTGACTGGACGAAACTCCGAGTTCCAGGAAGTGAAGCCTGCAGTACTAAAAGTTACCAGGGACTGGTAGATATTTACAATACAGTACTGGCAAAAGGTTATTAGGCTGCTATATGGAAACGGAGAGTGTGGATTTTATTTATTTTCAATAAAGCTGTTTTACTTTTGAAACTGGTGTCCTGCTTACTTGCCCCAACATTGAAGTCCTGGTCTTTGGATTTAAAGCTGGATCAGTTAAAGCAGGCTTTTACTGCTCTTTCTTTGTGAGTGATACTCCTATTTTTATTGCTGGTTTTTATATTTATGTAAAAACAATATTATACTATGTTTCTCCATTTTATATCTCTTTTTACATATGTTCTTATGTGATTTGGACAATCTAAGGAGATATACATTTCCCTTGTAAGTTATTTGCTTTGGATATTGAATTTTTACACCATCACATTTGCATTTTGCACTTATGTCACACTGAATGTGATTAGATTGTATACACTCTCTGTGTTTTTGCACAAATTATTGCACTATTTGCACTTTTTAATATTTAAAGGTACAGCGCACCTATTTCTGTTTTGGATTTTATGTATGGTGTTTTATGAGCTTGTACACTTTTAGGTGCTGCTACCAGGGCCGGATTAAGAGCACAGTGGGCCTGGTGCTGACAATTATGATGGGCTTAATTATGGAATCTTATCGACCAAAAACACTAAAACAATTATACCTCCCGAGCGTCATGTATCTGATGGAGATTAGTGATGTCGCGAACCCGAAATTTTCGGTTCGCGAAGGGCGAACGCGAACTTCCGCAAATGTTCGCGAACCGGCGAACCGCCCGAAACTCCATTGACTTCAATGGGGAGGCGAATTTTAAAACACACAGGGACTCTTTCTGGCCACAATAGGGATGGAAAAGTTGTTTCAAGGGGACTAACACCTGGACTGTGGCATGCCGGAGGGGGATCCATGGCAAAACTCCCATGGAAAATTACACAGTTGATACAGAGTCTGGTTTTAATCCATAAAGGGCAGAAATCACCTAACATTCCTAAATCACAATCAATATGGATTGACACCTGACATATGACATATTGACACCTTGACATATGGATTGACACCTGTCCTCAGAGCCCCTGATACACACGGACACAGAGCAGAATAGGGACTGTTCCCCCTACATAGGGTCACTTGGCAGATATGGATTGACACCTTGTTACAAACTGCTATTTGTAACGGGCCCTTTAAATGGCAAATTGCCCTGTTTCCCTGGGTTGTGGAGAAGCCTCTTTGCCAGCCTCCTCCCGCATGACTATGGCCCCTGGGAGATTGTGAAAATGTATGCACTTTTATTTGGTGTGTATGGCCCTTTAAGACTGTCGGTGGGCATATTGGGGCTTATGGACTCTTTATGTGACTGGTGCTGGCCCTTTAAACACCTTTTTTGGGACATCAGGAAGATTGGGACACTGCCCCTTTAAGGCCGTGTCCCCAGACTTGTTGGGGACACGGCCCCTTTAAGACGGTGTCCCCTGTGTCCACAGACCTGGTGCAAACCCTTTGTGCCTGCCTTGCTATTTCCCACTTGGTTCAGTAAATGGGAAATTATTTCAACTGCAGAGACTAAGTCCCATTCGGCGATGGGACTTAGTCTTTTTTTCAGCCGTTTTTTCAGCCTTATTTCAGCTGCAGAGACTAAGTCCCATTCGGCGATGGGACTTAGTCTTTTTTTCAGCCGTTTTTTTCAGCCTTATTTCAGCTGCAGAGACTAAGTCCCATTCGGCGATGGGACTTAGTCTTTTCTTCAGCCGTTTTTTTCAGCCTTATTTCAGCTGCAGAGACTAAGTCCCATTCGGCGATGGGACTTAGTCTTTTCTTCAGCCGTTTTTTTCAGCCTTATTTCAGCTGCAGAGACTAAGTCCCATTCGGCGATGGGACTTAGTCGTTTTTTCAGCCTGAAATAGACCGACCTCACAGCCCAAATCTATGGAACTGTTTTGGGCAGGAAAATGTGCTTGCGGTGGGTCATAAAGGGACCTCCAGCTAACTTTTTAACCCCTGGATGGATTTGGCTGATTTTGGTTGTATTTTATGTTTTAAGTGTACTTTGATTCCCAAATATGTAATTATGAAGATGGGATGTGTAGTTTTAAAGTTTACAGGGGGTATGGCTAAAAACTGTATTTTTACTGCCTGTGTTTAATTATGTTAATCTCTTCAAAGCGTCATTTTAGTTTCAAAGTGGAGAATGTTAAAAATATGGCTTTTGTTGAGGAGTGTGAGAAATGCTTTTCAGCCCGCTTCTAATCTTAAGCATCATTTGAGGAGCCATGGAAAACCTTATTAGTGGTGTGTTTAGTATTGTTCTGATCAGTTTTAATACCTTCGTCTCCTATCGGTGGGCGTGTATGGCAACCATTTTAGGAACCGTACCTGGGACCCGACAGGTCACCTCGTTCAACAGTGACAACATTTGTCCTGGAAAACTATCCTGGACATTCTGTACAATTTGTATGGATGTAGCATTGATTTTTGTAACAGGGAGATGGAAGAAGAGGCTTGGTCGGTCCTCTTAATTCAAATTTGGGGCACTGCGCGGTCAAACTAATGTGCCACCAGATAGGAGTGGTGTGTTTAGTATTGTTCTGATCAGTTTAATACCTTCAGCGTCTCCTATCAGTGGTCGTGTACACGGCATTGATTTTTGTAACAGGGAGATGGAAGAAGAGGCTTGGTCGGTCCTCTTACTGCAAATTTGAGGCACTCTTGGCGGTCAAGCTAATGTGACACCAGATAGAATTAGTAATGTTTAGTATTGTTCAGTCAGTTTAATACCTTCCCGTCTCCTATCGGTAATTAGGTAATACGGCATTGATTTTTATAACAGGGGAGATGGAGAGAGGCTTGGTCGGTCCTCTTAATTCAAATTTGGGGCACTGCGCGGTCAAGCTAATGTGCCACCAGATAGGAGTGGTGTGTTTAGTGTTGTTCTGATCAGTTTAATACCTTCCACGTCTCCTATCAGTGGTCGTGTACACGGCATTGATTTTTGTAACAGGGAGATGGAAGAAGAGCCTTGGTCGGTCCTCTTACTGCAAATTTGGGGCACTGCGCGGTCAAGCTAATGTGCCACCAGATAGGAAGTGGTGTGTTTAGTACTTT